CAGTCTGTCAGTTTTTTCTTCATGGTAGCAGTTTTAAATAGCATTGTGGAATGGAATTTGGCAAAGTATACATTTTTAGAGGGTGGGACACAGACTAAAAGACAGCTTGTCACAAGTTGGTATTAGATCTTCCTAATTGGCAGCCAGAGGCAGTTACTGATAACTGAAGCGGTTTTTGTCCTGTACTTTTTCCCTTTTGTGGTCTTCCCTTCCACCCACCCTTTTTTTTGTTCCTTTTTTCCTCTGTTACAGTTTAGAAAACGCTAAACCCTCCTCCCAGGCAGCCTCCGTCACGATCCCTGATCACCTCAGCATCAACCTCTCTCAACCCTCCACCCCTTCTTCTTCTTCTTCCTCCTCCACCACCACCCCCTCGCTCGCCACAGCGGGGACCTCCGACGCACCCTCCAGCCTCCCCAACCCTCTTCCGACCGCCCCTTGTGTCTCCAGTCTGCTTGGCATGAAACCCATCCCTCTCCTGGCTCTAAATGTTGTGTCTGCTGCTAAGGGTACCGGGGCTTCAGCTGCCACCACCACCACCTCTGCTGTGCCATGTGTAACTAACAAACTGAAAACCGAGAAACAGAGATTCTCCCCCTACTGATTGGGTATCTTGAGGCACCCCCTCAAGTATTTCTTGGTTCGTTTTGTTTTCCTTTGTTAACATTGATGAGAACCCAACAATTGTGAGCTTTGTGACCGTTTCGTTTTTACTATTTTGGGGGATGACAGGGTGGGGGTGGGGACAATGGTAACGATGTTTAGGTTTAGGCCATTTCAGCTGAGTGCCTGCTGTTTCAGAGTCTGACTTGTTGAATTCTTTATCTAGAGCCGCAGTTCTTGCTCTTCTTTCTCATTCTGTTACTTTTTTGTAGCTTTATTCTGCCTTGCAATATAACAATGTGTTAGGCTCTGTGTTAATGAATAAAAAGCTTCTCCGTTAACCCTTTTTTTTAAAATTATTTAATGGTTAAGTTATCAGCAGGCCTTATTGGCCAGATTTGTGTTTCTAGCTGTAATAAAGTTGCCACAGTAAGAACCTTAGTTGACCGTGTGCTGTGAAGGGTGAAGGGATGGGGGAGTGTGTGACCTGTGGCTATTCAACTAGGGAGTCCATCAAACTGACATGGGCCATTTCGTATCCCTGGTTAATTTTGTGGTCCTCCTCTGCCATAATTCCCCACAAAGGGAGATGGGCCTGTGACAGATAAATCCTGAAGTTCTTCCAAAATTGGCAAGAAGCTTCTTTAGGGAAGAACAGTTTGTCTGACTTCTCAGATCCCGTACCTTGCCAACAGTAGCAGGTAACAAGGGTGTCTGTCCCAGGCTTGTTTCCTCTGGTGAGGGGATCTTTCACAGATCATACATACGAAGAAGTTATTTCTTTACCCAGAATGGGGAGACAAGTTGGGAAAAGTCTAATAAAGTTCGCCAGCTTCTGTCTGCATTCCTCTGAACTAGCATTACACTTCTTCCTGTGACATTGGGTATAGATCTTGAATAACCAACCTGTGACATGGCCCAAAGTTTGACAGGATTCTGTGCGGTCATCCTAAACCAACCCTGATTACCCAACGAAGTCCCTTTACCCTTCTATTTCCTGCCTACCCGCTGTTTCCCCAGCAACCCTGTCATGAGTAGAGAATTCAAGACGTAGATTTGGAAGGAACTTTTAAGATCAACTGTAACTTAGGGATTCACTCATTTATCAAATTGAAAAAGAGGCCCTAGGAGAATTTAAGTTAGAATTTCACGTGAGTGACTAGTCAGCACTAACAATTATACTGTACTTTGACTCACGTGTATTTAACCTCCCCAAAGGCTTATTCTTTTTCTTAGCCCAAGACCACAGTTCTCTCTCCATGAAAGAGTAGAAATGCTCTGAGTGTAATGGCGGGAGGCCTCGAGAGTCTTCTGCTCAGTCTGGCTGCATATTGCCAGGGTAATGAAAGTACTGTGCTCTTCCTGGGGCATTAGAGAACCAGTGTAGAGGTTTTTTTCCCCAATGACCTTCTCCCACATCCCTTTTGGTTTACAGTGTTGAGAAACACTAGTTGTTGATGAATATTGCAGTATACCTCATTGTGTTGTGGGCCCTCAAACCCAGATTGGGCCTGTGAATTAGTGTTCTATGTCCCAAGTCTGCATGAAGAGCTAGGGGAGCAGACTTGATTTCATTGTCCACATAGGGTGTTCTCATTAGTTGTTCCTTTATCATGTGGTCCAGCTTCCCCTTAGGACTTAATCTTGCTGGTACCATCCCCCCAGAGACTTGGTTTTTATTTTATCCAGTTTTTGTTTAGAAGGCCTGTTTTCCTAATGAGTGCTTCCTAAAGAAGGTTTGCTGGGAGGAAATCCAGGTGTTTAAGGGGCTGACTACCACCACCGCCTCCGGAAGTACTTGGTGTTAAGTTTTTTTTAAAAGCTTACAGTTCCCCCATGTGGTCCTTCTGTCCTAGAATCCTTAACATCATGTTTCTGGTTGGGTTTTCCTTTGCTTCCTCTATACCCCACGCCCCCTCGGCCCCTGCTCAAGTTGTATGTAAATTCTGAACAGTTGCTTTTGGTGCTAGTGTGTCACCACCTTCTTGCATGAACTTAATTTTTTAAAAAAGATGCTGTATCTAAGCTTTCCAGCAGCTCTTTTCTTGAACTATCAGATCCCACTGGCTCCTTGATTCAGGGCCTGTTGCTTACGTGGCACTTGATCACCCCATTTTGAGATTGGCAAGATTCTAAGCCCTTTAAGAACTAACTTCCCTATGCCGAGGTGGGAATACCATTTATGTCTTAAAATTGAATATAGTCAACTGTTGAAGGACCTATTTCCTGACCTTTGGGGGTATTTCCCCCTTCTGGCCAGCTTTTTTGGCTTTGTATTGTTGTGGAAGAGGTACAGATGGGGAAGTATCATTTATGCTGTCTTGACTAGATAACCACAAATAGGTTATGCTAGTCAATTTAAAATCTTTATGAAATAAATTTATGAACTGAAACTGAGTCTTACACATTTAGTTTATTCAAAACAGAAGTTAAGTCTTGCTACCTAATGCCAGTGAAGCAGACTGAGTGCCTACATACCTTTCCTTCAGAGCCCAAAGTTGGATTCCAGGACCTCAGGTGATCTATTTGAAACAGAAAGGGGAGGGTAGCCAGGTATGTTTGGATGGAGAGTTTGCCTTAATAGGAGACCACAGATTGAAGAGCTACTCAAGTGAGCTAGGGAGTTGTTGAAACAAATTATTTTGGATTCCACTTTTTTAAGTCCTGAAAACTAGGCCTAAAAACTATAGGTTGAGTATGATTCTTGACCCATATTTATTAATAGCTTCTCCCTTTTTAACATCCCTCAGCATTTAAAACTGTATTCTCTCTTAACATAATAGCCTTCACATTGATAGAGAAACCCAGGACTGTTCTAAGGTTGTGTGTTTTTGGGCCGTCTCAGTATTAGCATCACGAGGCTACTTTCAGATAAATGTTTCCTTAACTCCTGTTCTATCAGTAGCTTGGGAGGAGTTAAAATAACCTTGGCAGTAAAGAAACATTGCTTCTGGGTATTGTGACCCTCAAAGAGGAGGCTTTAGTGTGTGGCATATTTTCAGAAAGTTTTTAACGTCTCCCACAAAGATTCCTAAGAGTACAGTTTGAAGGACACCCACAGTTGGTAGCATGCTCTTCAGTTTACCTTGGTCATGTGTCTCAGGAAGCTTGGGTTGCAGGATCTGGGTACTGCTTAACCCAGAAATCTTCATGTATCTCCCTGGATACTGCAACACATTTACATTTACCTTTCCACAACCAGGCTGAAAGGTTTGGAGGTGAGGTGCAGCGGGCCGCTCAGAAAACTAACTTGGAGTTCTTGTTTATTTTTGTGTTACAGGCTTTCCTCGGAGACGGGTGGCATGGGGAGCAGCTAGAACAATGCAGATTCATCCATTATCCCTTTCTGCTGTTCACCACCACCCATGATCCATCTGTGTAGTTTCTGAACAGTCAGCGATTCCAGGTTTTAAATAGTTTGTAAATTTTCAGTTTCTACACACTTTATCATCCACTCGTGATTTTTTAATTAAAGCGTTTTAATTCCTTTCTCTGTTCAGCTGTTAATGCTGAGATCCATATTTAGTTTTATAAGCTTCTCCCTGTTTTTTTTTTTTTTTTTTTTTGGCTCATGAAATTTTTTTTTCTGTTTGTCATGGAAATGTAAGAGTGGAATATTAATACATTTCAGTTTAGTTCTGTAATGTCAGGAATTTTTCAAAAAAATTAAAAGATGGACTGGAGCTTTTTCTTTGTGAATAGAAACTGGATGCCACAGTGATTCATGTGGGTTTTATTCCTGTTGTCTTGCTGTTATTTTTGCACCTTTTATCCCTCAAAGGACAAGGACCCTGCTTGGGTTTTGAATATAAGCCTTTATTCCAGTAAGATATTTTCTTCTGTTTTACCACTCCATCTTTTTTAGCCCTTGATCAGATTTTCCCTTGAAGCTGCATTGCAAAGTGACCTAATAGCTATAGCAAGCTGACTGTGCCCGTGGTCCTAAAGATAGGGGGTTACATTTTCTTAGGGCTCGTTTGCAAAGAGTGGGCAGGTACTTGATTGAGGGGAGGCAGGGGAAGGACACACGTGCATACACATGGAAGCAGTTGGATGTGTGTGACTGCACTTCAGGTTCCTGGGAATGTCTGTCCCCTCGTTCAAGCTAAAAACTTCAGTGTCTTAAATAACTTTTTGTTCACAGGCATCTTTTAATATTACAAGTGGGTGTGTTAAGATCTGTCCTTCTACTAAAATCCTTTAGAAAGATGTACCCGCTCCCATTTATGCATATAGTTTTAGAATGTTGGAGCTTTAAGTGATGTTCATTTAGTTAGTGAGAATAGCATAAACGGACGAAATAACTGGTCCAGAGTCCTCAGATAATGTCTGGAGCCCAAGGCTCTTACTTAACGGTGATTGCTACCCCTTCATTGACCAAGAAAACCCTCAACAGCTGGGCCTGCATGGAGTGGTTATATTTCAAGGTTTTTCACAGGGGTTACAATATGACAGTCCCCACCCCAATCAGGCACCAGGATAAAAGCAGGGACTTACACAACACCCCAGTCCTTCAGCCTGAGCCATCACATGCTTTCACAATCTCCTAACCTCCCCCTAGGCCCTAAGCCAGAGCTTGGGCAAAGAAATGGAGGGACAAAGAAATTAGTTACATTGCCACCTGAGAAACCTCCGAGGGGAGGACCCAGCCTTAGCCTCCCTCCTCCCAAGTGCAAAATGTGTAAACAGTAAATGGAAAACAAAAAAAAGTGCAGTCTAAGTGGCTCCCTTTCCTGCTCCCCTTAATTTGGGGGAAAGAGTCTAGAGAACATAGGAGGCAAGTCTGGCTTTTCTTTTGCCTGACTGCTGGCTGAACATAATGGGTGAAGTCAGAAGGGGCCGGTTTGCCCTTCCCCACAGCTCTAGGGTAGTACTTGTCCTTCGTTTCCACAGCTGCCAGTGTCCCCAGAGTTTATCAGGTGAATTGGTCAGGGGTCAGTCTCCTTGAGCCTGACTTAAGGCTGGGACAGCCCCATCTTTCTCTGTTGATTATGTGGCGCATATATATTATTTATATAAATATTTCTCTATGTACAGGAATAAGAGTGGCTTTCAGGGAGGGAGGGAGGCTGGGGGCTGCACGCCTTCGCCACTGTTGTTGTCCAGTTCAGTGCTGTCACAGTCTGAGTCCTCAGAACTGGGAGGGCCCTGTGAAGAAGAGGAGAAGTGCAGTGAGGTGAGGTCAGCATCTCTTGGTATGACAGATAGATTCTTTCAAGATCTTTCACTCAGGTCTTTTTAGTTGCCAGGAGCTTATTGATTTTTCTGCTTCCAGATTTTCAGTTGCTCAGACCCTTCTCTAAGGCAGCAGACTCCTAGTTTCCTCCCTGGCTGCAATTTAGAGCTCTCGTGCAACCAGCCCTGCTAACCATACAGGGTGCTCTAGACGGTAGGCCTCTCAGATTCCACCATGTGGATAGTTGCCCTTTGGTATGGGAAGAAACAGGCTTAGGTACGGAGTGACTTAGGGCCTAAATACCTGTTTCTGGCCTCTGCATCTGTCTGCCCAGTAGCTCTCAGATGACTGGGCATCTGCCCCTGTCCAGGACTGTTGCTTCTGTGACTCACCTGCTCTGCTCTGAGTAGGTCCTTGTGTGGGATGGGCAAGGAACTGGGCTCAGGGCCAGGAACTGCCTCTGAAGCAGGTGGGTCTAGTGGGATTTCTGAGCCCTGGGAGCACATGTCATCAGACCGCTCATCTGGCCGCTCGTCCGTGTTGGTACTGCCAACTTCAGGTGTGCCACTGGGGGAAGGTTCGCTAGCTGTGCCTTCCTCGCCATCTGATGGATTCTCTGAGCTGAAGGTAGATAGTGACTGGCGCATATTTAGGCCCTGAGGCCACCTGTATGTTGGAGAGATGGGCTACAGCTGTTGGCTCTGCACCTTGCAGCCCAGAAAGCAAAAGAATGCCATTACCTTCCGTAGTCCATCACTCACCTCTGGCTTGATGTCAGCTCTACTTCACTGTCCACCTCTCCTTCCTCCTCTTCTGATGAGATGCCACGTTTCTGCAGGAGAGACGAGTGGACTGTGGTCAAAGGTGGGAAGAGGTTATCAAGGACCCAGGAGAAGGGAACAGTTATAAAGGGTTAAGTAGGGAATGGCTTAAGATCAAGAGCCTAATATGGGAAGTGATTTATGGACTTGGACCCCAGGGAGAACAAGGAGAGGAGACGGGGAGAGCTCAGGAACTGTCCTATACTGTACCTGACTCCGGGTGACAGCAGCCCTGTACAGCAGTGCAGCTGGAGTCAAGTGCTGGGACCCAGCCCGGCTTCCTCCCCGTCCCGCTGTCCCTTCCCTTCCAGTTCCCAGGAGCCCCACACCGTCACTGGGCCCTACTGGTGGAGGAGGCTCCCCTTTGGCTCCCCCAGGTGAATCTGGGCTGGTGGAGCCAGGCGCTGAGCCTTCACTTGGGGGGGTGTCACCCCGGGCTGGAGGTGGTGAGCCAGGATCCCCAGCTCCTCCTGTGGCCCCCCGGGCCCGGGCTCCCAGTGCTGCTGACAGCAGATCTGGGGATGATGAAGACATCTTTCGTAGTAGAAGGTCATGGTGGAGCCCACGGAGGGCTGGAGGACAGGCTTCCCAGGCTGAGGGTCCCCCTCCTAGCCCCCCTGGGCTTCCTAGTCCCCCAGGTTCATGGGTTGGCACAGCTGCACGAAGGCCAGGCAGGTCCCCACAGCTGCCCTTGGCGCTGGCCTTGCGGTGACGGGTCTTGCCACGGCGACTCCGTCCTGGTGAGGGGGGGCCCTTAGGACACCCAGGAAGCCCCACCCCACTCAGGGCTGCATCTAGTTTAGGTAGCAAAGACTCAGTCTTGAGGATATCTGGCCTGGTGGAAGAGGGCAAATACAAGTTTAAGATGAACAGGTTAACCTTGGGTGGTACAAAGCACATCCCTCCCCGGCTAAAGAAGAGTCTTCCTGGCACCCTTGACTCCTTCCCCTGCCTCTCCAGCATCCCCCTTGCCATTCTTGAAACTCGGCACTTGTGAACTCTGATCCCACCTTTTGCTGTGAGGTGACAGCTTCTGTGGGACATTTCTTTTCTTGATGAGCTTCTCCATTGTGTTCCCATGAAGGAGGCCTCGAGAAGGGTGTGACTTCAGCAGGCCTGGGCACCTCCGCTCTAAGGCTTGCTCCCTCCTGAAGCCAGACACTTTCTCAGTTGGGCATGTGGCCAGAAAGGGGGACCCAGCTCAGTAGATGTGAGTCAGGCACAGCCCGTGAAGACAGGATTTGGTGCATGAGGGCACGGATGCGTTACCTGAGCAGCTCCCGCTCCTTGAGCTCCAGCTGCAACATCAGGGCATTAAGTTCCATGTACAGGTTGTTGGCTCTCTCCAGCTTCCGTTCATAGTGCTCCCTGATGTCTAAGGCGTGTCTGAAACAGGCAGAAGGGTCCCTGTGGTGAGCTGGCTTCACATGGTACCATGATTCATCCCAGGTCCACAGTCCCTGCTGGTGATGAGGTCACTTTCCCAAACAGAGGCACACACCTGAGCTCCTCCCTCCTCCGCATCACCAGCTCCTCTTCTAGGCGGTGCAGACAGGTCCCTTCTGACTTAATTTTTTCAAAGTGCAGCTTTACCTCTTCGCGCCACTCTGCCTGGGGGTGGAGAGACAATGAGGGGTGAGGGACATCCCTTCACCTGGCAGACCTGTGGAAAGCCTCTGCAGGTGTGTGCACTGCTGCAAGTTGTGTGTGTGGGAGCAAAAGGGAGTGGGGCACAGGATTGACCAAGACCAGGTCTCAGCCCTCCAGAAGCTAAGCTGTTCCATCCTAATCAGCCCTTCTTCCCAGCCTCCCCTCAAAGGGCATCCTTATCTCTGAAAGGGAGGGAGTTGGGGTATTCATTTTCCTACCCACAGCACACCTGGGACTTAAAGTAAGTCTCCTGGGGTGTGGAGAGTACATCGGCGGAGGCGATGTCCAGATGCAGCAGGATCTGTCGGAATGATGGGCGATTTCGTGGTTTGCTATTCCTGGAGGGAATGGAGTTGGAGAGAAAGGGATTTCAGGGAGGACCGACCATAAAGGAGCTAGAGCATCCTTTTCCAAAGTGTGTCCTGCAGAATCCAATCCTAGAATGTATTCTGTGACAAAAGAATTCCCTGGTTAGCTGTCTAGGAAATAAAACACACACTACCATTAGTATATCAAAGTCCTGCAGTAAGGAAACATTTAATCCTATTTTCCAACTTGTTTGCCAAAATAAACCTCTTTCTGAGTCACTCCATTAAAAGAAACACACTGGGAAATGCTCAACAAAAGATGAGAAATCTTCAACCTTCCTTCAGGGTCTAGGTTCCAAACAAGTGTCCACGGCCCTTCCCTGCGTCCTAAGCCAGTGTACTTGAGACCCAACCGACAGCGCTCAGCGGCTGTGCCAGTGCCTCACAACTGCTTCACAGCAACCGTGTCTGGCAGACACTGCTATTCCTGTTTACAGATAAGGAAGTGGGTTCGGGGGGTACCCTTTGCCCAAGGTCACATAAAGTTTGCCTTTGAGTCTAACGCACCCCTGCAGATTATTGGTCCAACTCCTCTCAGTTCTACACTGTGGTCCTCTTGAGCCACACCCTGAAGATCAACACCTTGGGAGCTCTGGTTCCCTCTCCCTGTTTGGTATTCCGGGCCTGGATGCCTGGGTGCTAGGTGCTGGCTAGCTATCAGGAACACCCCTTTGCTTCCCAGCTTTGCCGGGCCATCCTCACCAGCACTGGCGAAGCAGGATTTTGAAGCCGTCTGGGCAACTGGAGGGCACAGGCAGATGAAGACTGTTGCTTCCCACACCCCAGATGATGGCGGAGGAATCCACGTCTTTGTAGGGAATCTCACCAGTCAGCAGTTCCCACAGCACCACACCAAAGGACCTGGGGATAAGAGGGGACATCACTTGGGAGGGGCTCCCTCCAGAGGCCTTGGTTGCCACGGACTCATCTCCCTCAAACTCAGACCCTGGAAGCCCCCTCCCTACTTGCTGGCCACCTGCTATCTCCATTCTCAGCCTGGCCCTCACCAGATGTCGACCTTCTCAGACACAGGCTCATTGCGGATCACTTCAGGGGCCATCCAGGCTACTGTCCCTGCAAAGGACATCTTGGTGCTCTTGTCACTCAGCTCCTTGGAAGTGCCAAAATCGGAGATCTTCACCACATCGTCGTACGTGATTAGCATGCTGGTAAAGAGTGTAGTCAGCTGGGGTCTGGGCCGCTCCACACACCTCATCCAGCTGCAACACCTCTGCCTTTCTGTTTTAAATTGTGTGGGACACCCAGAGGCAGGGGACTCACCACAGCCCTCCCGAGATAGGACTTTCACTTGGGAGGGGTTTCTGAGATGGCCACATGGACTTAGGACAGGGTCTGGAGCAGGGAGATGGCCACACTGACTTGGGTGGGGTCACCTGTAGGAGACCATGCACATCAGCTTCTCTCTGCTTCCTTGCTTACTCACTTGGGGGACTTGAGATCTCTATGGATAATCTTGTGCAGGTGCAGGTAGTTCATGCCACCGGCGATGCCCATGGACCAGTCAACCAGCAAGGAGGGGGTGACAGGGCGGCCAGCCCGCAGTACCTCATACAGCTGGCCCTGGGCGCAGAACTCCATGAGGATGCAATAGCAGGGAGCCTGGGTGCACACGCCCCTGGGGGCGGAACAGTAGTATGAAGGCCTCAGCCAGCCTGGCAGTCACCTGATTCACACCTGGAGCCCCCAATCCCACTCGTGCCATTTGGGCATCTCCTTTAGGAAGGGTGGGGTGGATCCCTGTTGCCCAAGTAGGTCCCGGCCCTGAACCTTACTTGAAGGTGATGATGTTGGGGTGCTTTAGCTTTCGCAGGTGCTTGATGTCAGTCTCCTTCAGGTCCCGTACTTTCTTCACAGCCACCTCCTCACCGTGGAAGCGCCCCAGGAAGACAGCGCCCTGGGCCCCTGAGCCCACCCACTGCAGGTCCAGGATTTCCTCAAAGGGGACCTCCCAAAGGTCTGTGGACAGGAGGCACAGTGCCACAAGGCTCAGAGAGAGCCACACTCAGGGCCTTGTGACAGCCAGGCTCAAGGGAAAGCATTGCGTTGCTACAGTAGTAGCCAAAATAGGCCAAGAAGACTGGCTTTGAGGGGACAGGGAAGGGAATGAATGGGAGGGCCTAAGAAAAAGCTGGGAAGTCAGTGGCTGATGGATGGATAAGGGCTAGAGCTGGGCGGGAGGGAAACGGTCATCAGGTGACTTAGATGGGGCTGTCCAACAGATCTCGGGCTCAGGGAGCCAGGGAGGGCATGGCCTACCTTCCTGCTGCTGCTTGTGCTCTGTGGAGTAGGCTTTGCCAATCATGGTCCAGACAGGGCGCAGGCAGCCGAAGAGGCCTTCCAGGAAGCCACTGCCACTCTGGCACTGCAGCCGCACCTCATCCGCTCGAACTCTGGAGGCCCGACTCTCAGGGGACCCAGTGGCTCCCCCTGGGCCCCCTGCATCCTGCTCGTGTAGCTGCAGGACACTGTTGGCAAAAGGCTCAGGGGGCGGCTCTCCACCTGGGGAGGGGCTGGGCCCGCCCCCACCCTGGCCCCCGAGCGGCACTACATCCCGAAGTACACACTGGGTAGGCGTCAGGTCCTTCTCAGGGGTGCAGTCAGAAGTGTCTGGGTCCAGCTTGCGCATGGACGCCTCGCTTAGGGTGGACACGAAACCCCCAAAGGAAGGGGAGGGTGTGCGGGTCTCATGGAGGCAGGCCATGGCCTCTGGGCCCCGGTGTGGTGGTGAAGGGTGGGCCCTGTGGGAACAAAGGAGGAAGGGACTGTCAAAGCCACAGGTGCACCAGCTCAGAATGCTCACCTGAGAGGCAGAGGCACGGACTGGGGAGCTGGGCTCACAACAGCCCTACTGGAAATAACACTTGAGCCTCTCCCTCAGGTACCCATCCCCATGCCTGTTTCACCTGGGACCCATCTTAGGAAACCTGATACTCAGGCTTCCTCTCGAGCATCTAGTAATAACAAGTCTTCCTTGCTTGGGTATACAGGTAACATACCTGAGTATCATTCTCAGCTAGACACAGGTAACAGCTCCACTCAATATACACAGGTGAAATATGTCTGGGACTCAAGTATTATGGTAACAGAATCGCTCCCTTCTTCCCGTAAGATTACTGTAATTCCCCTCTGGAGCACAACTTTCTTTCATTTAAGGCGCACACGCACACACAGATGTCATATAAGGGTCTCTGAGATATACACTTTTTGAGTCTCAACCTTAGGCACACAATAGTAACACACTTAAGGCTCCCTCACACTGAAACACACACAGGTAACATTGGTGATAGTGTCCCTCAGGCACTCTCAGATGACATTCCTGGGCCTCCTGCATATGGGTGATGCACCCCGGGCCTCACCCTCGTGAACTTACACGTGACACAGCCGAGGCCCTCCTAGGGACACTAAAGGCAGGTAAGAGCCATCCTAAGGCACACTCAGGGCTCACACCTGGGGTCTCCCTTGAGGCTGCTCACAGGTATACACCTGGGCCTCTCTGAGTTAAGGATGTAACCAATCAGCTCCACTGTCCCCAGCACAGTTGGGGGAAAAGGCGGAACCATCCTCTGGGGATGCAGAAGCTGTCAGGACAAGCTGCAGCCAGCTGCTTCATCCCCCGTGGGGCTCCCATTAGTCCAGCTGCTCCCCCAGGGGACAGTTAGAGAAGGCCCTGTTTCCTCTCCTCTTTCTCCATTGCCCCGTCCCCAGCTCCCTAAACCAAGAGCCAGCCTTCCAGACAATGGAGATTTGTCCCAGTTCATAGCTGGGTGCTATTTAAAAAGCAACCATTCAAAAATCTGAATCCTAGCCTTGCCTCTGCCAAGCCTTAGTGGTTGCATGACCTCAGGCAACCTGTTGGAGCCTCAGTTTCTCCAGCTGCACAAAGGGATAAACTAGCTATCACACAGGCAGAGCAAATCCTTCAAACTACACCAAACATCCAGAGCTCGACACCAGGAGTCATTCCGGTCTCCCAGCTCCCTCCACAGCTAGTCAGTTACCAAACCCTGAGATGTGAGGATTCCTGATGACAGCGATGCTCTAATCGTTCCTCGTAGTAGGCTCCTTCCTGAGTTCCTGCATCAGAGCCTCTGAATCACATCGGGAGAGGCGTGGCCTGAATCTACACATAGGAAAGGCTCACTGGACGGTGACACAGATAGACGTGGAGGTTTGGCACCTCTGAGGGTCTCAGCTCTCGCAGCACTTAACTTCCAGGCCTCCCAGAGACTGTTCAGTGGGTGCCGGTGGGCTTCCTCTGCATATCAGACGAGCACCTCAGGAGATTCTGATTATGCCTGGCACATCTGGAAAGCTCTACCCCAACGTGTTCCAGCCTCTCTTCTTTAGTCCCAGTTACTGCCTTAATCCAGGCCTCATTAGCCGTGTCACCTGGCCCAGGACGACTGCCTCTTAAGTGGTCTCCAAGTTCTTCCAAGGCCCCCCACGCCATTTTCCACCAGCCTTTGGAAGGATCTTTCTAAAACGCGAATTGGCCGGCACCCGCTCTTCTGCTTCAGACCCTTCAGTAGCTCCCACTGCCCTGCCCCCACCCTAGCCTCCTCTCTCACTGCTGTTGGTACCCAGGCCATACAGAACTGAGCTTGACACCAAGCTCCAGCAGGCTGTGTGCCTGGGCACCTAACAAGAATGGCTAACCAACTCTTAATGGAAGGCTTACTATGTATGTTAGCCTCTGTTTTGGCGCCTTAGCTCATTCAATCCTCAAAAAGAAACTCGAAGGGAGGCATTCTTAGCCCCCATTTGACAGAGGTATTAAGTAACCTGCCCAAGGTGTCTTTCTAGGAAGAGGCTCCAGCTCGGCCCCAGGCCTGCTCTACCTGGAAGGCGCTGCTCAAGCCCCATCCCTTGTCCTCCAAGTCTCACTTCATCTTGGAAGCCCTTCCCGCTGCTCTGGGTTAATGTCCCTTCCGGGCTGGCATAGCCCCTGTGCTTCCTCGAGCATGGCTCCGATTATCCTGGACGCACAGTGTGGTCGGGCGTCCGGCTCCTCTGAGAGCGACCACTTCGCACGGGATCCCAGGGCTTCCAAGAGCACATGGCGCCGCGCAGGCCGACGCTCAGTCAGGTGGACCCACTGCTCTACCCGCCCCGGGGGGTCGTCTTAAGGCCCACACTACACTAGGTCTGCTTTAGCTTCCTCGATGCTGAGAACAAGCCAGCGAAGGAGGTATGATGGTTGGTCCCTTTATGTTCTTGAGAGAACGGAGGTTCAGAGACCTGAAGTCACAGGTCCAGTCTCTGAATCCCCAACACATCCCACGAGATACCGGCGGCTTCAAGAGGTTGGATGTAGATTGTAATGCAAATAACAATCACAGGCCAAGCAACGTGCCAATACGCCGGGGAATTTTCCCTGGAGGACCCCAGGACTTTCGCCTGCGCCCCCCAAGCAGAGGCTTCCCTTGTGAACCACTGCGAACGACGAGCCGGCAGAGGGATGCGGGACCGGGGCGCTCGGGGAAGCCCTCTAAAAGCCCAAAGAAAGGCCATTGAAAGCGGAGAGGAAGGGGTTACGGCCCCGGCGCCCCCTCCCCCTTCCCGACCTCCTTCCCGGCCGTCACGTGGCGCGGGGCTGGGGGCGGGGCGGGGGCCCGGCGGCGGGAGGAGGGGGTCAGGGTGGGGAAGGGGAGAGGACTCAGCGGGTTGGGGGAAGCGCTGCGGCGTAACCATGACGACTGGGCCCAGGCGGCGCGTGAAGTCACCGGGACAAGATTAGCCCAGGGTCACGTGAGCGCGACGGCGGGGGTGGGGCTGCGCCTGGGCCCCGCCCCTGACCTGGGCTGGCCCATGTGCTGGTGGCCAGGATGGGTGCGGGGGCCGCAGGCGTGGACCCCTGAGCCCAGTAATCGGCCGCATCTGTGCTCCGCTCCTTCCCCTACCGCCCTCGACCCCGCACGCAGACAGATCTTCAGCGGGGAGCCCAGGGGAGGGAGAGCGATCGGTGTTGGAGAGAAGGGATTGGGGTTGGCATTGGGAGTGCAGTATCACAGAGAAAGCAGGAGTGAGGAGGTGGGGAGACTGGACACAGAAAGGGCGACAGGCACATCCAGAGAAGGAGGGATGAGCTGAGAGATACACAGACCGAAACAGCGTGCAGCGCAGGGAGAGTCAAACCTGAGAAGGATGGATTGAAAAACTGATTTTGAAAAGCAGAGAAAGGAGATGGAAAAGGGCTGAACAACACGGAGATCGTCTGTGCCCTCCCCAGTTCCTTTTCTCTTTAGAAGCTGAGCCTTGGTAGGCACAACACCTGGCTTTTTAAAGGAATTTTTCAGCCTTCATCTGGTGTTTGGCAACTAGGAGTTTTAGGCACAGAGAGGGTGACGTGCTCAGAGACACTTGCAGCGGAACCTCCCTCCAGGTCACCAGGCTTTCCCAGAGGGCCCTCTGGTATCCAGGGCTAGCAGCTGGAGAGAGAAGCCATTCCACCTGTTTGTCTTTTAGGGCAGTGGGAGTAGCTGAGGAAGTAGGAGATGGGACCAAAGGAAAGGAAGGGAGTCTAGCCAGGCTCAGTCCACTCCCACCCTGTTCTCAGGCTAATGACAACTCTTCCAGATTGACCTGAAGGGGTGGGGGTGGGGGGGGAAGCTGAGGCCCCAGGGAGCTATAGTAAACTGGAGATTCCTCTCTCCTCAAACACAGTCCCCTTTCTGCTTCCTTTATCTCTGACCCGCCAGCTGTGTCCCACTGCCCCCCAGCTGGGACTTGGCGCCAGAGCTTTGGGGGGACAGCATGGCTAGGAGCCCCTGGCCCAGACATTCGGTCACCCTGGGGGAGGGGAGCTGTCTCCCTGGCCATCAATTATGCAGAGCATGGGGGAAGGGCAGGGATATGACAGGAGAGCATGGGTATCTCTGTCAGTCATTCTGTCAACCATATCTACCAAGTGCTTACTGTGCAGAACTGTGCTTCAGATTGGGTGAGGGGACAGGGTGGTCCCTCAGCTGTCCATCTTCCAAGGGAAGAGGCTCTCTGGACACCCTGGGAGGCCCTAATGCAGTTTCAGCTACCAGATTCTCTGTTTTGCTGGTCCTTTCCCAGAGCGCCCCTTTGGCAGGCAGTGGGGGCAGGGAGTATTCCCCTTTATTCCTCCTCCTAGGTTTTCCTGCCTGAGATGCTGGAGGCCTGTGGCAAGGGAACCCTTTGAATTCTTTCTTGCTCCCTCTGGTCTAATGGCAGAATCTCAATGCCAAGCTGCTTGTCTGGCTGTCTTGGGAGCTTAGGCGCGAGGCCAGACCATCTGTCTAAATCTTGGGCCCTCACACTGAGCCCCTACCACTGTCCTGGACCTCATTTTGTCCTCAGGAAAAGGAGGAAGATTTACCTTCTCTCTCGAGGCGGTGTGGGAAGGGAGGTCTTTACAGGGAAAGGAGACCCAAGACTTTGGAACGCTGGTTCCGCCCCTGCAGGCTCTGTGAGCCTGAGAGGAGAAAGGACTTGACCACTCAGGTTGGGTCTCCTGGCGACTTGGCTGCAGCCTTTTGTGGTTTTGCTTCTTACAGGATCCATGGTCCTGGCCCCAAGGTTCTTCTCGATGGAAAGAACTAAGCTTTGCTCAGTGCCCTCATGAGGGGGAAATGCCTTCCCCTGAGAACCTGGGGACAACTGGAGATAGCCCCTAATTCCAGGTCCCCAGCCTCCCAGAGGTCAATCGCTGAGACCCCGGCCACCACCCCCTCTTCTCCCAGTAGAGTGGGCAGTGAGGGGCTGGGGACAGGGGAGCAGGACTATTTAGGAACAAAGGGCCAGCTTTGCATTGGGAATGAAGCTCAGCTTTGCACGCTTTAGTCTAAGGAAGGGAGCCTCTCCAAGCCTCCCGTCTCGGGTGGGGAGGGTTGGGAAGGGACGCAGGGAATGCGTGAGCACAGGGCCTGGCTCCTGGTTTTGTCTTCCTGGTTGGCTGGACACCAGGCCTTTCTTTGTGGGTTCTGGAGAGGCCATCTCTTCTATCTGACCAGAAAAAGGGAGACTTGGTCTCCGACCTTCTGTTTGCCCAGGACAAATCTCGATTTCCGGTTCCAGGGGAACTGGGTCACAATGGCAGTGGTGTGCTAGAGCCCCCGAAGTCATTCCTCTACAGATCCTCAGCCCTTCCTCTGCCATCCTGCCCCTCTGACCTGAGGGAGAAGGTCTAATTCTCTGGACCCCGTCCTTCCTTCGGGTCCCCCTGGTCAACGTGGCCCCAGATCATCCCTCAGCCCTACCCATTAAGGGCTGAGGGGGAGGGGAGGGTAGGAGGGAGCTGTGAGGGGCCACAGGATTGCCCTCCTACTAGGACCTCAGGTAGACCTGGAAGAAGTTCAGCGTATTTGAACGAACAGTTCTTTTCTTTCTTTCTTTCTTTTTTTTTTTTTTTGAGGAAGATTAGTCCTGAGCTAACTACTGCCAATCGTCCTCTTTTTGCGGAGGAAGACTGGCCCTGAGCTAACATCCATGCCCATCTTTCTCCACTCCATACGTGGGACGCCTACCACAGCATGGCTTTTGCCAAGCAGTGCCATGTCTGCACCCGGGATCTGAACCAGCGAACCCCGGGCCGCCAAGAAATGGAATGTGCGAACTTAACTGCTGCACCACCAGGCCGGCCCTGAACAAATAGTTCTTGAGCTGGATGTGCCTTTAAAAAGATCTGGAAGAGGGCTGGCCCTGTGGCTGAGTGGTTAAGTTCGCGCGCTCCGTTTCGACGGCCCAGGGTTTTGCCAGTTCGAATCCTGGACGCAGATATGGCACCGCTCGTCAGGCCACAGTGAGGCGGCGTCCCACATGCCACAACTAGAAGGACCCACAATTAAAAATACACAACTATGTAGTGGGGGGCTTTGGGAGAAAAAGGAAAAATAAAATCTTAAAAACAAAAAAGATCTAGAAGGACAGATACCAAAGTGTAACAGTTTCTAGGAAGGTGGAATTGTGGGGGTTTTTATTTTCTTGTGGCTGATCCATATTTCTAATACTTCAGTAATAACTTTGAGTTGCTTTTAAAATAATAAAACATGTATTTTATTTTATTTTTTTTATTTTTTGAGGAAGATTAGCCCTGAGCTAACATCTGCTACCAATCCTCCTTTTTTTGCTGAGGAAGACTGGCCCTGAGCTAACATCCGTGCCATCTTCCTCTACTTTATATGTGGGACGCCTGCCACAGCTTGGCTTGCCAAGTGTTGCCATGTCCACACCGGGGATCTGAACCGGCGAACCCCAGGCCACCAAAGCAGAACGTGTGCACTTAACCGCTGTGCCACCCCAAAAAGCATCTATTTTAACCTGAGGGGCCGGCCCTGTGGCCGAGTGGTTAAGTTCACGTGCTCCACTTCCGTGGCCCAGGGTTTTGCTGGTTCGGATCCTGGGCGCAGACATGGCACCACTCATCAGGCCACGCTGAGGTGGCGTCCCACACAGCATAACCAGAGGCCCTCACAGCTAGAATATACAACCATGTATTGGGGGGCTTAGGGGAGAAGAAGAGGAAAAAACAAGATTGGCAACAGTTGTTAGCTCAGGCGCCAATCTTTAAAAAATAAATGAATAAATAGAAAAAGAGGAAATAAAAATTACAGAGAGCCCATCCATTCCTGTCACCTAGCTTGGGACAGTGTGCTACACAGGGAGGCTGGATGGCCTGAGACTCAGAGACGCGTGGGGCGGTCTGGTCTCTGCTTCTGATCAGTTGGGCGTCCTGGAGAATGAGACATCTTAACAAACCTCAGTTTCTTCATCTCTAAATGGGGACAGTGGTACTTATGTCATACGGTGGGAACACAGCATATAACGTGGTGGGGAAGAACAGAGGTTCTGGGTCAGGCAGACCTGGGTTCAGATCCTAAGCTCTTGCCACATACTGATTTTTTCACTTCGAACAGATTACTTAACTTTTTTTTTCTCCTGCTTTTTCTCCCCAAACCCCCCCCCCCAGTACATAGTTGTATATTTTAGTTGTGGGTCCTTCTAGTTGTGGCATGTGGGACGCCACCTCACTGTGGCCTGATGAGCAGTGCCATGTCCGTGCCCAGGATCCGAACCGGTGAAACCCTGGGCCGCTGAAGCCGAGCGCGCGCGCATTTAACCACTCGGCCACGGGGCTGGCCCTACTTAACTTCTTTAAGTTTCAGTTTCTCATCCCTAAAATAGAGACGATGACAACACTACCTAACTCTTGTCTTGTTATGAGCATTACTGAGATAATCCAAGTTAAGTTCTTGGCCCCAGAGCTGGCGCCCAGTAAGCTCGCTACAAACATCAGCCACGTGGCAAGTGCCTAACAAGCAGTAGTAGGTTTTTTTTATAAATGTGATTCCTATCCCTCTTGCCCTTTTCCTCCTCCGCAAAGCAAGAGGCATAGGGAGGGTACAGGTGGAAGGGGAGGTGGACCACATGAGGGATAAAAAGGAGAACAAAGGAAGAAGGAACCAAGGACAATGGCTCTTTACCCCGGATGGTCCTTACTCTCCTCTGGAATAGTGTCCCTCCCTGCTCATCACTGTCCCCAACACGCATGTGACCCTAGTCCTTCTGGGAGCCAATAAAGCAGAGGGACCAGTCTCCGTGGCCAACCCCTCAGGAAGCCCCTATGTCCCCTGCGGGCACCACCTCCACACTCTCCTCCTCCTGCCCAGCAGGGCCCCCTGAAGGGTCGATTCCCTAACCCCTTCCTTCTCCCAGCCCAGGCAGGGCAGAGGCAGGACTGCACATGACGGGCCGGTAGGTGAGTCCAGGCTGGCGGGCACTAGAATTTAGGGTCGTCTTCCTGGCGAAGCCAGACTCCCACATCTTCACCACCGAGGGAGGACTGGGGAACAGCAGTTGGTTTTTAGAGGGGTTCTGCCCCCCTCAGCTATAAGGACACCCAGGAAGTCCTGAGCCACTTCCTTACTTAAACTTCTTGCCTCCTCTGCCCGTAACAAGGTTTCATTAGGGGATGGATATTTACTTGTGCATTGTCACATGTGCTGGAGTTGGGGTATCACACCATTGGTCTTCCCAGCATCGCCCCAGTCCCCACTGCGAGTGAACAGATGAGTGGCAGGCTTGAGAGGGCAGACGTTCTGTCCCACTCTTAAGTGTGAGATAGGAGAGAGCGGGCCCTGAAGCTCAGAGGAACTTCGGTGTCTGGACAGGAAGGCCCAGGGCACACTTGGGCCTTTTCCTTCCTGAATCCCTTCCGCCCGCCTTCCCTTGGTGTGACCCTCTGGCTGAAAATCAGAGCGCCCAGAGCCATGGAGTCCAGCCTGTGAGTTGGAAGGGAAATGGGGTTTAGAGGAAGGTGCTGACTGTGGCACAGAAGGCCTCACATGCACTCCCTTCTGGTTGAGGGCCACTCACTAACTCTCCCCCCAAGAGGGAGCAGGTAATGGAGCTAAAAGGCACGACTCCTCCCTCAATTCTAAGGGACACCCCACTATTTTCTTCCACAGTCTGTAGAGCCTCTGACCCCTTCTCTTCCCTCCCCTGAGCCAAGGCCATGGTTATCAGGAGTCCTAACTCTGGGGATAGGATTCTTACTTATTTTTAAGCCAAGGAGTTTGAGGAGTGTGTGGGGAAAAGGGAGGAGGTCCATGAAAGGCCTGGCCTGGGGAAATGGGTTAGGGGAGCCAGAGGAGATGGAGAGAGCAAGGGGGAGAAAGCCCCATATGAATGGGGGAGGGGAGGATGCAACAGCTGGATGGAGAAGGTGAATGCCACAGCTGGAGATGACTGGGGGCATCACAGCGGGAAGGGGGAACCATCACCTGGCTATCCCAGAACAGGTGCTCTTGCCCTATAATCCTCGGGGGAGGGGGGGGAGGGTTGAGGGGGATGGTGGACACATCAGGCCTTGTCCTTCCTTTCCTTCCCTGAGGGGCCGAAACTCTTTCTCCTCCTTCCCTCTCCCCCTTCTTGAGGATGAGTGGGAGGAGAGGAGGGTGTTCTCTTGCCCACTGTCCTTTAAGTCTGTCCCCCAGCCATCCCCCCACCCCCACCCCATACAGTCCTTCTCATCTCTGGAGGCCCTTCGCCTCCAAGCTGGGCCGCGGCGTCCCTCGGCTCCGTTCCCCTCCTTCCCATGCCCACAGACGTCGGGTCCAGGTCCCCAGTTCCTCCATCCCCACAGCCTCAGCATCCCCGCGCCACCCTCCCCCACCCCGCCACATCTGCATCCCGACCCTCCCTCCGCACCCGGATCCCAGGACCCGAACCCATCCCTGCCCCTCACCCCCCACAACTCGGCCCGGCTCTCACCTCGGGGGCTCCGCGGCCGCAGCACAAAAGGCGGCGCTGCTGCAGCTCCGCTCCGGATGCTGCTCCCGCCTCCTCCTCCTTCTCCTCCTCCTTCCCTCCTCCCCCCGCTGCCCTCGACCGGACCCGGGGCGCTGTCACGGGCGATGCTCGTGCGGTGTCCAGGTGTACGGGTGTCAGCCCCAGCTTTCTCCCCCCCCCCCCCGACCCCTAGCCCCGTCCTCACTAGGCTTGAACTCCCGCTCCTTCCAAGGCCCCCGCCCCTGGCCCCCCGGGACGGACACGCCCTGAGCGGGGGATGCTGCGCTGGAGCCGCCGGCCTCTTAAAGGAGCCCGCTGCTGCCATCCGGCGCGCTCCAGGCTCGTCCCTGGCCCGCCTGGGCCCTCACCTCCCTGTTGGCGGTGTCCTATGGCAGTCCCACCTCGGGCCTTATGCTAACTCCGTAGGAGCCCCCTATTACCGGTCTTATAAACTCCCTCCTTTACCCTGAGACAGCAGCCCCTCAGATGGGATCCCCCCAGCGCTCTAGCATTGCTCTCCCTGTCATACAGACCTTGCCAGCTTTCTTTCCCCTAATTGCCACCACTCCAGTTCCACCCAATTAGGATCCACTCAGCTCAATACCCCGTCGCCCTCCAGTGTTCCTGGATGACCCCTCGTTAACACTCGAGGATTCCTCTGGACCTCCACCCCCCCAGCTCAGACAAGCTGTCTCTTCCGTGACCCACTCTCGGGACACTCATTAGAATCAGACATTTTTCGTTATCTCTCTTTTTTCCAAGGTCACAAGATTTTCCCTACATTTTTCAGCCCAGCGGCTGTGAGACTTTGGAGAGGAGGGACTGGAACTCTGGGAACCAAAAATACGCGTTCTGCTCCACACTCAGATTAGTCGATTAGTCTTAAAAGGCCAGAACCGTCTCTTGCTCGCTCTTTAGCTGAGAGACCCAAGACCCATGGCAGAAGGAATGAGACCACCACATGCCTTAGTTCTTCTAACCCTGTCGTCCCACTATAGCCCAATTCTCAGCCCCCACAGCGGGTCTCCTGCTCAGCCACAGGAAAGTTCACTAAGGTCGTTCTAAAGAGGCTTTTAGAAAAGCAGCGGGAACCCCACAGTCTGCGGGGCAGAATTAAGGAGAAGGGAGGTGAAGGACAACCTAGGAAAAGGAAGCAGGTTCTTGAGACTAAGGCCCGGGGGCAGGGGCTTAGGCCGAAGGCTGGGCGGGAACTGAGATGCACATACAACTGTCCCTGCGCTCTGTGGGACAGAGTACAGTCCCCTCCAACATCCAGGTAAGGGCCACCCTCCCAGACGGAGAAGAGCCGGGATCCGACAGTAGCCTGGTCCTTGGACCAATCACAACCTTTTCTCAAGAAAGAGGCGGAGCCAAAGGGGGGCTGACTCTTCCCTTGTCCCCGCCCCGCTAGGTAAAGTAACCAATCGCAATCCACCTCGAGGAAGCGAGCGCAAGCCGCAATAACCAATCACGCCGCGAAGCTTCTCGTGCATGCTTGACCCTGCCCCTCCAGCTGCGACAAAGATGGCGCGCGAGCTCCTGGGTTCTGTAGTTTTCTCGGGATTCGAAGGCCCGGGTGCTCGAGTCAGCCCTTATCGCCCCGCCCCCAGGCCCTTCCACTACGCTAGTACGCATGCCCAGAGCCCCAGCCCAGGGGAGAAGAGACACGAAAGGAAGGAGGCGGGACGACATTGGAAAAAAAAAAAAGCAAACAAAAAAACCACCCTCCGGTCGGGAAGCGACAGTGGAGGGGTCCGCTCCTCCCAGAAGGCGGTGCTGTCTGCCCGGGCGAGCCACGCGGAGGGTTGTGGGGCGGATAGCGTCTCTCCTGATGGAGCCTCATGGAGTCCGGTGGGCGGGGGACTCCATATCCCAGCATGCCCTGCGGCGGGCCCGACCGGCCGCGACTCGGGGCTTGGCCCCGGCCCTAGCTCGTCGGCGGTGTATCGGGGCGCGTGGAGGCTGCAGTCACGGTGGCGCCCGCGGGGACGGAGGAGGGAATGAGTGAAGAGGAGCAGGGCTCCGGCACTACCACGGGCTGCGGGCTGCCCAGGTGAGCCGCCTCGTATCGATCCCTGCAGGGCTAAGAGCGTGGTGCGGTGCGGAGGGGGTAGCGGTGCGGCCCCAGCATGCACCTGGCCTGAGGGTTGTTCCCGGCAAGCACTGGGGTACTGGGCCGTGGTTCCCGGCATGCATCCCGGCAGTGGTCACTGCCTCCAGCTGTAAATAGTTTGGGGTTGGCCGGGTTCCCAGACTGCACTGGGGCACTGGGCTTTACGCCCCCGACATTCAGTGCATTTGGTGGGTACTGAGTTCCTGGCCTGCACTGTGTCAGGGGACATGCACTTCCAACCTGCACTGGGGTACAGGATCCCCGCCTTGACTGAGACAGGAACAGCGCAGTCCCCGCTTGCCTTGGGGCAGTGCACTCAGCTTTCTCAGCCTGCACCTCTTCTCCACATTGAACCCAGCCAATGGCTGCTGTATTGCTTGGGGTCCCCTGGACCCTATGTCCCCCATAATGTGCCTGGGTCTGATGTGGCAGTGCTTGGCCAGGTGGGTGCAGAGAGGAGAGGTGTGATGAGGGTCTGTGCCCCTCCCCCCAGTATAGAGCAAATGCTGGCAGCCAACCCGGGCAAGACCCCGATCAGCCTTCTGCAGGAGTATGGGACCAGAATAGGGAAGACGCCCGTGTACGACCTTCTCAAAGCCGAGGGCCAAGCCCACCAGCCTAATTTCACCTTCAGGGTCACCGTTGGCGACACCAGCTGCACTGGTGAGGAAGGCTTGGGCAACCTGGCTGGGGTGTGCGTTCACAGGGCCCCATTGGCTTTATTTCTTGGAGTTTCTTCACAGTCCTCTTCTCCAAGGCCGCTGAGGGAAGGAGAGATTTCAGGGGAAAAGCCACTGACTGGATTGGGAGAACAGGCCTGCTAGGAGGAGGGTAGGGCCACGGTGATCTGGCAGATCGTCATCATCCTAGAGAAAAAAATAAGAGATAAACTGAAATCTCAGCGAAGTATTTGGGGAAGTGAGTGCCTGCTGTGCTCTCTGTTCCAGGTGCTCTGTTGCAAATTCCTCTTTAGTCTTAAACCTCAGTCTAATCCAGTGATGTAGGTAGTAGTATTCTCATGTTAGGTGTGAGGAAACTGAGGCTCAGAGAGATTCTTTAGCTGGTGCAAGGTCACATCCCTAGGAAGTGGCAGAGCCAGGCTTTGACTGTAGAGCCTACTGTTTCTGTTTTTCCAGCCATCTCTATTTATTGAGCGCAAAGAAAGTGCTGGCCAGAGGAAAGTGAGGCAGAGAAAGAATCTCCACCCACAGTATCTGAGTTCAGCAGCAGTTCTGCCTGGCATGGCTTGATTTGGGGAGCTCATGGAAGAATAAAGGAGGGCCCTTCCTTCCAGCGATTAGTGTGACACTTCCAGTCTTGGGCAGGGGGAGGTGTGTGAGAGGGGCCTTGGTTGACTACCTCTAGCTGTGAGGAGAGAGGCTGTGGGATGCCGGTTTCTCTTCCATCCTTCCAGTGACCTCCAGTATTGCCCACACCCCCTCTCTCAGGTCAGGGCCCCAGCAAGAAGGCAGCCAAGCACAAGGCAGCTGAGGTGGCCCTCAAACACCTCAAAGGGGGGAGCATGCTGGAGCCGGCCCTGGAGGACAGCAGGTGAGGGAGGAAGAGCCAAGGCATCCTAGAGGCCCTGCCAGGAACCCACGCCCTTGCGCCAGCCCCTCTGCCCAGTAGGCCTGGCGCAGTGATGCTTAGCCACCTCGACCTGGCCTTTTCCTGAGAGTTTCCTCTGGACCCGGGCAGGATGCTTACAGGGCTCCTGCTGCTGGAAGGATTCTGGGGGGAATAGCCAGCCGCACTGAGGGGTCATGGCTGTGGTTTGGGACCTAGGCTAGGGAGGGAGAGGGGTGGAGGCTGAGGCTGGAAGGAGTTGCTCCCCAACATGCCTCCTCTTTCTGGCAAGCTGTCCTTCCCTCTTCCACACTCAGGTCAGGAGCTTGTTGCTCCCGTGGTTCTTGGGTACGAAGAGACCCTCCTTGCCCTTTTCTCACTCTTTTTGATCTGGTGTTTGGCAGCAAAGGAGCCCAGGAGGAAGAGCTGGTGGTTGAACTTCCCTGAGTCTTTGGCTCGAGTGGGAAGGAATTTTCTTAGGGCATGGGCAGGTCAGGAGACCTGGGTCCCCCTCCGCCCCCTCCCACATGGGTGTGAATCAAAGGCCCCCTTCCCCTCGGGAAGTTCTTTTTCTCCCCTAGACTCTTCACTGCCTGAGGACGGTCTGGTTTTAACTGCTGCAGCGGCTGCTACTCCCGTTCCGTCTGCTGTCCCAACCAGGTATCTTGTGTCTCCTGACTGCCTGGGCGGGGAGGAAGGGCTCCTGGCTCCTGGCCCCCAGCCCTTGGACCCAGGCAGGTCAGGCGTGAGGAAGTCTGAGAGTAAACAGAGGATGAATAGTTGGGGACCAGGATTTGAAGAATTTGCACCCGCTGGTAAGCTCTTGGGACAGGAAGTAATTGGTGACTTTTAAATAGCCATGTGGATGATGTTTGACCATGTTTAAAGGTCTTGCAGGCCCCATTTTCTTCTGAGCCGGCCACGAGATGGTCTTATGTGAGTCCCACCAGGTGCTTCGGGGACTGGATATACAGCCCCTCTCTCACTGTCCTGGAGAAGTGATGATCAAGTGTTCCAGAAAATTGAAATGGGCCTGGGACCTGGAGGAGACCTCACTTGGGTGGGAGGGGCAAGGAAGCCGGCTGGACGTCTGGACAGACAGCTGCCTGCCTGGCAGGGAGTAGGGAGGTGGTAGTTGGGAAAACCAAAGCAGAGCTGAGGACTCATGCGCAGCCACAGAAGGAGGCAGCCCCGTCAGCATTGGTCTTGGGCCCTTCTTCCTTCAGGAGCCCCCCCATGGAGGTGCAGCCCCCCGTCTCCCCTCAGCAGTCTGAGTGCAACCCCGTTGGCGCTCTGCAGGTGTGCCCCATCCTCATTTTCTGTGCATGCCTGTCTTCTCTTGAACTAGGGGCTGTGCGGGAAGGTTCTGTGGGCCGGTTACCCTGTTTGCGGGCTATCCACCCCCCTGTATTCCTTCTCCTACCTGAGGCTTCTAGGGTAGGAGGGAGAGGATGCGAGGTGTCTTTTCTCACTCAGCCTTGTGTGCCCTTGTTTCCCCTTCCAAGGAGCTGGTGGTGCAGAAAGGCTGGCGGTTGCCTGAGTACACGGTGACCCAGGAGTCTGGGCCGGCCCACCGCAAAGAGTTTACCATGACCTGCCGAGTGGAGCGTTTCATTGAGATTGGTAACTGGGCAGAACAGTTCTTGTAGCTACTGTCCCCCAGCCACGCGCAGCTCCTAGTCTTTCTCTGCTCCGGCCCGCGGTCCTGGCTTCTCTGCTCTGGGCTCGGCTCCTTCCTCCTAGCTTCTTCCTTGAGCCCTCTCTTTACCTCCCTCTTCTGGCCCATCGTGTTCTCAGGTGCCTGGCAGATCCCGAGCTCCCCTTTCCAACTGACATCCCCTGAGGGGACCCTCAACCCAAGTTTGAGCTGGGTGGACAGTTTGAGCTAGGTCTTTTGGGAATCATAAACCAGCAGCCCTCTCCCACATGCAGGCAGTGGCACTTCCAAAAAGCTGGCAAAGCGTAATGCGGCGGCCAAAATGCTGCTTCGAGTGCACACGGTGCCCCTGGATGCCCGGGATGGGAATGAGGCGGAGCCTGATGACGACCACTTCTCCATTGTGAGTGGCTTGTGGGCCGGGCACTGGGCTCCATGTGCTGTGCCGGTGCAGGCACTGGGGGCTCAGGAGTCTGTGGGTCGGGAGTAAGCCTCTCTGGGTCCCGGGCCTGCTTCTGCCCATTTTCCTACCAGACCCAGGGCTCCTTGGGCCTCCTCTCAGCCTTAACTGTAGGCCCACCTGGTGAGTGCTGTGGGGGAGCTGGCCCAGGACAGGGGCCTTGTAGGCTTGTGTTACTGGGATGAGGAAAGCTGCCTGGCCATCTGGTCCAGGGTCTAGTTGTTAGAGGAGGCCATACAGGGAGGGACTGGGGGGAGGCAAGCTGGAGGAAGCTTCTCGGTCTTTTCTCTCCTAATAGACATTGCATGTCTGTTAAATGCCTGGGTCTCACAGCTCCTGGCTGCATATTTCTCACTGTCCCCATCTCGTCAGGGTGTGGGCTCCCGCCTGGATGGACTTCGGAACCGGGGCCCAGGCTGCACCTGGGATTCTCTGCGGAATTCGGTGGGAGAGAAGATCCTGTCCCTCCGCAGCTGCTCCCTGGGCTCCTTAGGTGCTCTGGGCCCTGCCTGCTGCAGTGTCCTCAGTGAGCTCTCTGAGGAGCAGGCCTTCCATGTCAGCTACCTGGATATTGGTATGGCTAGTTGGGGGGCCGGGGGATGGTGGGGACTGGACCAGAGCAAGTATGGATGGGTCTGAGGGGGTGTGGGAGGGCGTGATGATGCGTGCACCCCTCCTGGTGCTGCCTTCCCGCCCAACGCTGCCTCCCTCCTCTTTCTTGGTCTCCAGAGGAGCTGAGCTTGAGTGGGCTCTGCCAGTGTCTGGTGGAGCTGTCCACACAGCCGGCCACTGTGTGTCATGGCTCTGCAACCACCAGGGAGGCGGCCCGTGGTGAGGCCGCTCGCCGTGCCCTGCAGTACCTCAAGATCATGGCGGGCAGCAAGTAAAGGCCCAGCTGGACTCATGGACGTGCACCCTTGCTCCCTGCTCTTCCTGCCCTGGCCCCCGCATCTGCCCAGCTCTGGTACCCCCCAGGAGGTGCCGTCTCTACCTCTGACACAGACTGCTTGCCGGCAGGCCGTGGAGGGCCAGGAGCCAGGGACCACAGGGCCTCAGCTGGCCCAGGATCCATCCTCTTGTTATTGGTGATGACAAGGGAGAAGGAAATGGGGGGTCTCCCCTAGAGCCCAGAATAAACGTGCTGCTCCTTGGATTCTTAAACCCTGCCCTCTCTGTTCCCTGAGTAGTGCTGATGGCAGAGGAGGTTAGCAGTAGGTCACCTCCCCTGTTGTGCCTCCCCCCTTCTTCCCCACATGTCCCCATGTTTGCCTTTCTGGTGGCAGGAGGCTGGGTGCAGTGACCTCCAGGAACCCCATGAGGAGGGTCTGGTTTGGTGGAGAAGGTGGGGGCTGCGCTTCTTGCCTTGGGGCTCCCTCCCAGCCCTTTCAAGTCTCATACAGACACAGACACATGGATTCAGAAGCCAGACAGCTTTATTTGGGGGGGACACATGGCACTTTTGGATGTGGGCTTTGCATGCACAAATATCAAGGAAGGACATGTCGTTTCTTCCCAAAGCGTTGAGGGGCAGCCAGGCTCCAGAACAGGGAGTTCAGCCCCTCCCCAGCTCGAGGACTCAGCCGTTTGGTACTCCAGGAGCCCCAGGTGTTTCTGCCAAACCTTAGGAGAGACCTGTCCTCAGCCGGAGCTCTTTTCAGTCCCTCTCTTCTCTAGCCCCCTCCCTTTCCTTTCTCTTTGGCCCCTGCCCTTTCTGTCTCCAGCCCCTGTGTTGCCCATAACCCTCTCACACTTACCTCTGGGGCTGAAACAGGAAGGCTGGGCTCCAGTCTGGTCTCTGCATGGCCTGGAGCAGGGAGCGCCGGAGTGGCCCAGGGGTCTGGGCATCCTGCGGTGGGTAGGGTTCGGTGTCTTCCTCCTGTGCCACGGAGGCATCCGGGAAGGAAGACGGGCAAAGTCCTTGGGCATTTAAGTCACAAGGGGAAGGGAGTGGCTTCCAGGGGCAAGTAGTAGGAGGCTGAGGAGCCATTTCCTCAGATGTGAGGACCCAGTGAAGACCCTGGCAGCCAGACAGAAGCTTTGAACCTAGAGCATAAGGCTCAAGCTGAGGTAGAGGAAAAATGGTGACATGGAGGTGGGGGTGCTAACTTACCTCGAACATCTGGTCTCCTTCATTCTGGCCCCCTGGTCCTTCAGTGTGGCCCCAGTCTGTTATCAACAGCAGCACCACCAGCAACACTGCTGCCCGCCTGGAATCCATCCTATCTGCCTTCCTACAGGCACACCCACCTTTTATACCTGCTGTCCCCTGTCTCCTAGCCCCACAACAGCCTGAGGGGGAATCTAGTGCAGGCAATGGAAATGCACAGCTCCATTAAGAGCCACCTGGGATCCCCTCCCATGGCACCCCCCAGACTTCCTGCTCTCAGTCTCCAGCCCCCAGCCCCTAAGCCTGGAGTTACAGACTTTATTAGATGCATAAATCCTGTCTCTAGAGCTCAAGAAGCGTCATTAATTGCAGACACTGTGTCAGAGCCAGGCCCTAGGGGGCCTTCAAGAACCCCCAATACCTCAACAGGTTGGAGAGCTCTAATTGCACACCGCTTTCTTAACTGTAGAATAAAAGCGGAAGGAAAGTCCTGTCAGGAAGGGTTAGGCGTGTCCTGGAACAGAGGGAGGTGGGGGCAAGAGCAGGAGTCAGAGTTGGCCAGGATGACCCGCCTGGTCCCTCCCCTCACCGGGGCTGCAGTCAGGGTCACCCAGCCCCTTCACCCTCCTGTGTACACGCCTTTTTTTTTTTTTTTTTTTTTTAAAGATTTTATTATTTCCTTTTTCTCCCCAAAGCCCCCCGGTACATAGCTGTATATTCTTCGTTGTGGGTTCCTCTAGTTGTGGCATGTGGGACGCTGCCTCAGCGTGGTCCGATGAGCAGTGCCATGTCCGCGCCCAGGACTCGAACCAACGAAACACTGGGCCGCCTGCAGCGGAGCGCGCGCGAACCTAACCACTCGGCCACGGGGCCAGCCCCCTGTGTACACGCCTTTTGGAGGGTTAAAGATGGAATCACCACTATGAGATTTGCCTGTAGATAGAAAAGTGAGACACGGAAGGAGACGAAAAGGTTTCGGAGCTCGCAGAAGGTGGAGATCGCTTCAGCGTTGTAGACTGACCCGTCTTCACCAGAGAGCGCTGCTTAGGACCTGCCTCCCCTTGGCCCAGAGCCAGCCCCTGCAGCCGAAGCGCTGCTGCCACCCTGTGGTCACAGCTCTGCACTGTCAGGCCAGGCGCTTTCCTTCTGGAATAGCTCTGTGAGGGGTGGGCTGGGTTGGAGGGCCTAGGGCCCCGACTCCGTGTCCCAGAAAGGCAGGGGCAGGATACTGGGGCTGGCCTATCGTTTTGTCTGTCTCCTTCCAGTCACCCCAGCCTCTGCCTGCTCTAGTGCTGACCCATCGAGGCAATCGAATCCCGCCTTAGGAAAAGTCAGTCACTGCCTCTCAGGGAGGGGTCCCTCAGAGCCACCGGTGCAGTTTCCCTTCTGATCCCAGAGTCCTTCCTAGGCCTTCCCACAGGGCGGTTCTGTGGCCTCTGCTGGAGAGGCGGCATGAGGTCGTGAGCCTGTGAGCCAGCCTTGCGCAAGCTGTCTGCCTCTCAGCTGCAGTTTCTTCACCTAGAACATGGCAGCAGCAAAGGAGCCGCTTCCCGGGGGGAAGCACTGTTTGAGACACTCTCTGTAATCCATTTGGCACAGGATCTGACTTAGAGCAAGTGTCCTCAAAACGTGAGCTGTGACGATCCTCGCACACCAGAGTCCTGGGGACTTGCCATCTCCTGAGGCCGTCTTCGGACAGTCTTCTCCTTACCTGGAGCTGGCTCCCATGGCTCTGTGGCTCCAGCAGGGCCCCAGTTTGCCCCAGTCAGTCTCACAGAACATCTCTCATCTCTTTCATGTTCACAAGCCTTCTGCGTGTTTGAAGACAGATTTCATGCTCCCACTCTGAGTCTTTTTTTGTTCAAGGGAAGTGTTGTCCCCTCTTTAAAGCAAGGCATCTAGAAACCACCTTACACTTTGGATAGGTAGGTTAGGGCAGGTTTTGATCTGGATGTTCTAGATATCATGTTTCTGTTAATGCAGCCTTAGTTAGGGTGTACGTTTCTGTAAACTTTCTCTCACAGTTGGTCCCAAGCACAGAACCTGACATTCCTCATTCTATCTTGTAGTTTCAGTGTCGCTTACAAGGGAGCATCAAGTCTGTGGGTAGACGGCTCCTCTGCGGGAAATGGATCCTGCACCACATCGGGGCCCTTGTCTGTTCTTTGACAGAGGTCCAGAGGAGCGGGGCTGCGAGGGAGGGGGAGGCGCTGCAGAGTGGCTCTGGGGGCCACGGGACTCAGTTTCAGTCCTCGCTCTGGCGCTTCCCTGTGTGCCTTGGCCAGGTGCTCCACCTCAGCCTGAGTTCATCCTCAATAACAGGAGGCAAACGCCTCTGTTCTCAGGAGGTCCTGGCAAGCAGTAAATGACTTGATGAAAGCCAGGCGTCTAGTATTCCATCCTGCACAGAGCAGGCACTCAGCGAATGTTTCCCACCCTCCTGCTTCCCCCTCTCATATTTCTCTGATCACCAATTAGGAGCGGGTCTGAGCTGAGGCTGCATCCAGAAAGGGGCTGGTCTAGCTGGCTTCCCACGTCCAGGATGGAGTTGATTGCTGTCTCTTTTGGTTAGAAGTTGGAATAGGTTAATTCTTCTACTTGGGAAACTGTCCTGCTTTCAGAGTCTTATCCACACCTCCAGAATTTCTCAATCTTGACTTTGTTATTTGGCTTCCAGCAACTTCCTTTCTTGCCTTTCTCTGGACCCCCATGTGCTCCTGACCACATCACAGTAAAGACCACCACTGCCTTTCCCACTCTCCTGAGGAGACTCGGGCTTCCGATTTGTGTCAATTATACCAAACATCAGCCACAAACAGCCTCTAAACCACTTCTGTCCTCTTGGGAAGCCCTCAGACACCTGCTGTCTCCTGGTCGAGTTCGCGAGCCTGCTTCCCTCGCCTCACTTGTGATGAGAATTATCACGCAAGTGAAGGACACACACAAATGCCCAGAAATGCAGAGTGATCGCCCCACACCTCCCCACGGTTCTGAGCATTTCCTGTTTTTCTTGTGAACTCTCTTCCCTGCTTCTAAGCAAACTCCACCCCTCATTTCCAGACCAGCCTCCTCCCCACACCCACAGAAGTCACAGAAAGCTTCTTTTTCAGTGTCTATGTGCACTCCCCAGACATGCTGGAAACTTGAGGGTGGGGCGTATAAAGTTTCTTAATTTTGGGGAGGTCAGGAGGGGATAAAACACTGAAAGCTAAGAAGTCACTTGCCTTCAGACACCCTCCCATCCCCCATCTACATAAAGCACCTAAGTTCTCCAGCAAGTGCTCCTGTGATGCTGAGGGCCCTGGCGCCCAGGGCAGGGCAAAGATCTGAGCCCCAGTCTCTGTGGCTCATGTTGTGTTATGTAATATATAAACCACCCACCTTCTCTAGGCTGTGTCTTCCATGCATAAAAGGAGGGATAAGAATCCCTGCTCCTTCTGTCCTAAGAAATGGGAGTGAGGAAGATCACAGACATCAAAGCCAACGAGCTCCCAGAAAGAGTGGACAATGCAACTTGTCGATGAGAGTACTGAAGCATCAGACAGAACAGTGGTTCTCTTGATAGTTTAATGTTATATTTGCAGCATAAATAAGGCACAATATATGTCAGGGCAAGGGAGAAAGGGAGAAGGCATGGCTGGGGGGGGCGGGTAACTGCTAAGTGGCAAGGGGGAAGGAAGAAGGGACGGTTAGGGAGAAGAGAGCGAAGCCTCTGCCTCAGCCCCGTCCCGGGAGAACGTGAGAGCCTGCTCACAGGGACATGCGGAATTGGGTGGAGGGGAGAGGGAGAAGATGGTTTTGTAACAAAACAGCCTGTAGCACTGCATCCTCCCATCTGTCAAAGCCCACCACTGGGGACTGGGGAGTCCCAGACCCAGAGTCGAGTTCCTTGATGAGGTGGAGAGGTGTTGCTGCGTGTCAGATATACAGGTGAACAGAGATACAGCCATAGACACACACTGCTTTCTTTTCAATAGATACTATGTTAGGAGGCTGCAGCCCCCACTGCTGGGGCGGGAGGCTCATCTCCCTCCCTGAAAGGTGTGTGTGTGCGTCTGTGGGAGAACAGGACAGCTCAAGCTCCAGCTGGTCCTTCCTCTAACAGAGAACGTGGAGTGATCAGTCTGCAAGAAAATATGGGACAACTTCTGTCCAGACAGATGCAGGACTGGTTTTAGGGATACGCAGAAGGAAGACAAACCTAGATTGTGATGTGAGTGATGTGTTTGTTGTTTTAATGGGAGTGGAGGGAGGGACTGGAGGAAATGGAAAAATATGTTAGTGCTAAGGCAGAGGATGGTACTTAAAATATCCTAGACACCCTCAAGAATTTCCCAGCTTGCCCCTAAGGCAATGGTTCTCATTTTTAGTGTGCATCAGAATCACTTGGAGTGCTTGTCAGGGCCCAACCCTAGAGCTCCCGATTCAGTAGGTCTGGGGAGGGGCCCGAATGTGCATTTCTAAGTTCCCAGACGATGGTGCTGCTGGTCCTGGACCATATTCTAAGAACTACTGCCCGAAGGGAAAGTCAGTGAAACTAGTGCTCATAGCCATTTCTTACAGCTAAAACACCACTTACCAGTAGCTAATGCTGGTGAGAGATCTTTGTGCTACCAGCCTCCCGTTAAAAAAATAAAATTGAACCCTAGCAGCACAATACAAACCTGCATCTGCAAAGGACATAAGCTGCCTTAACCTGCCCTACTCTCCCCAGCTTTTCCTCATTCTGGGGTAGGACTTTACCCCAAAGAGAGATGAATGAACTGGTACAGAGGGTGGGAAAGTTGGCCAGCAGCCACCTATGCTCATTCCTGCTGGGTTACCACACCGCCCTCGGGTGGGTAGATGGGGATTTATGTCTCTGTGCACATGCCCGTGTGCAAGAAACAGAGAGAAATCGGTTCTATACTCTGAGGGGGATGATTAGGGTTGTGGGAGGCTGAAGTAGGATGTGGGGGGTCCCCTAATCTGCCTTAGGATCCTCACCTGTCCTGTTCCTCCCTCCACCCCTGTCAAACAAAAGTCTAAAGAAGCAGGAAGAGCATATCAACAAAGGCATATGTGGTCTAGCTAAAAGGACTGGATTCTAAACAGACTGGTTATGAAATTTTAAAAAAAGAATACATTTCCTTCCTGTGTATACAATGTACAATATTAATGGAAAATAATGATTTGGGGATGGGAAGGAAGTTATGAAAGGGGGGGCTTTTTTTGAGGGGGAGAGCTGTCTCAGGGCTAGCACCTTTAAAGGAGCCTCTCAGGGTGGAGCAGGGGAGCCTCAGAAACGAGAGGAGGAATCTTTGGTTCTGCTTGGTGGTTCAGGCTGTAGATGGGACACGGTTATGGATAAGCACCCGTCTACAGGATGGGTGTGCAGGAGGGCAGTGAATCAGGAGAGGAGCCGAGAACAAGAGACCAGGCACAGGGAAGGCAGCAAGGTGAGGCTCAGTTAGGCCATCCTTTCACCACCACCAAGTATGTGGTCTGGAGCTTAGGGCCAAGGTGAGGAGCGGAGGCCAAAGGAAGCCAGATTTAGGGTGTACAACCAACAGGGTAAGAGGAAGTAAAGGAGGTCCTCCTCTTTCCAGTTCTCCCTAGCAGTGTGGGAGGCTTTCTCAGACTTTCAACTCTAAGCGAGCTTTCTGTTAAGAGAACGGGACAGAAAGCCTGCAGGCCAGAAGACCCAGTCCTGGCTCCCAT